ACTGGAGCATCCCCTTTGTGCAGCTCAGGAGCAGAGAGGGGCTGAGGAAACGAGCCCAGGTTGAGCCTGGAGCTCAGGTTTGTGAGCAATGCACCCACAACCTGCTTTGCCAAGGAGTCAGTGCTGCAGAGAGATGAGGAGCCCCCAAACTGAGGGGTTTGTTCTTGCTGGGCACAGGAATGATTTAAATTCTGGCCGTGGGCTCCTCCATCCCAGGGTGCTTCTGTTTTTTCTCTGCCTCTCTGGTTTCACTGGGGCAATGCCCAGCTCATAAGAATTGCAGGGTAACTTGCCTGTGGTTTTTTTGGAGAAGCAATCAAAAGCATGAGAACATCTTGGGGGTTATAAGATGTCCTAAGTCACTACTGAGGGGCTGGTTCTGGTTTTTTTCTGCTCCTGCTGGGCCAGGGCTCTGCTGTGTGGAGTGGAGGAGAGCCTGGTTTGGTTTTCAATGAGAAAAAACCCATCTTCCTTCAGCTGAAGAACAGTACTGGGGAGTGTCCCAGGGCCCCCAGACTGCTTGTGTGCAACCAGAGTTACCTGGGGAGGTTTGATGTAAAACAAGTGCCCTCAGGTTCTCATCTGCCAGTTCTCACCTAAGGATAAGTTTAGTGCTGAACCCTCTGATGTGATGCTAGAAAATCACCCAGCTGCACTAGCCCACTGTATTTCTTATTCCAAATAATGTGATTTTTCATGCTTTCAATCTGTCAAATATCCCTGAGGGCTTTTACAGCCACAAAAGCTGAGTTTTAGTAACATTCTGTTGAACTCCCAGGTTTCCAGCTCTTGTTTATTCCCAGTTTAATTGTGGACAAAGAGTGTCCCAGTGTGGGTATGATAATAAACACATCCTGTGATGCTTTTCAGCGCTGTGAGCTCGGGTTAGAACAGCTCCAGGAGAGCAGAGGGAGGCTGTGGCTGCACCAAATGAGGCAGCAAACAACTGTCTGCAGAGGCTCCTGCCCTGAGCTGTTTTGCTGAACTCTGTTCATCTGCAGGCCAAACGAGCCAGTGCAGCCCATTGAAATGGCTGAGTCTGCACAAAGCAAGCAGGAAAATTGGAGTATAAAGCTGCACCTCACTTCTGGTACAATCCACAGGGAGATGGTTTCACTTGCTGCCTTGCACCTCGCTGTGCAAAGTTTACAGGAAAAAAAAAACCTCCACAACTTTTGTGTGTCCCAACTCCTGCATGAAATGATCTGTGCCTGGTCAGGACTCTGAGGGCTCCTCTGTGAACATCTCTGGTTTTCTTCCCGGCTGCTCACAGAATCCCACAGTGGTTTGGGTTGGAAGGGACCTTAAAGATCATCTCATTTCATGCCAAAAATCCCCTGCTCCTATCCCAGGCTGCTCCAATCCATGGCCTTGGACACTTCCAGGGCAGGCACAGCTTCCCTGGGAACTCCCTCCCAGCTCCTCACCACCCTCACAGCCAAGAATTTTTTTTGTCCTAATATTCCACCTAACCATGCTCCTAATGTGAAAATGCCCTATAATCTCCTGCCTGTCCACGCTTTTCTTTGTCCTAAGCTAAATATTCAAGCAGCTCTAGCTCAGGTGTTACTGATGCTACTGGAGGGGCCAGCAAAGGTGGAGGGAAGCAAGATGAGACCTCAGATTTGTCAGAGAGGCAAATGCACTATTAATGCTCACCGGGATGTGCTGAAATAGCAGGAGGATGAGCGTTTTGGAACAGTAGGAGCCTGCACCTGGTCTGAACTGGAAAAGTAAGATCTGTATCTTGGTGAATTCCCAGCTGAAAGCACTAATTATGAGTGCTGTAAAAGGCAGGTCAAGCCACTCCCACCCCGTGCATTTCAAAAGGTAAAACTTGACGGGATGAAGGAAAAAAACAACCCCAACCAACGTCTTTGGGTGTGAGAGATTGTTTTGACTGTAACTCATGAAAGTTGGAGGAACTTTCATAGCTGCTTTAGTGCCGTGCTCAAACCCTGAATTTGGGATGTGGAAGGCAGCAGAGAGAATGGGCAGTGCTGAATGCCTGCAGTGAGCAGAAGCACCGGGATGTGAATGGAGATGCCTGCCCTGACAGGGAGCTCTGCACAAGCTCTGCTCCCATCAGAAGCGAGGAGAGCAAAGGCTGGGTGTGCTCTGCGCTGTATCTCCGTGGCACACGCAGGTGATTGCAGCAGGCAGGGCGGGTGTGGCGCTGCTTTCTGTGTCCCCGGGCTGCCCCGTGGGGACACGACCTGGTGTGGAAGCTGGGATGAACCGGGGAAGGGTCTGGAGGGACCACAGGAGGGAGAGGCTGAGGGCACCTGGCTGGTTTCACCTTTGGGGTCTGCAGCTTCCTCACAGAGCGCTGATCTCTCTGATCAGGGACAGGCTGGAGCTGTGCCAGCGGAGATTTAGGGTGGAAATCGGGAAAAGAGGGTGCTGGGCACTGCCCAGGCTCCCCAGGGAATGGGCACGGCCCCAAGAGCTCCAGGAGCGTTGGGACACTGCTCCGAGGCACAGGGTGGGATTGTCGGGGAGCAGGAGCTGGGCTCGTGATCCTGGCACATCCCTTCCAGCTCAGGGCACCCCAGGACGCAGCAGGGATGGCAGGGATGTGGGGATTCCCAGGGATGTGCCCCTTCCCCGGGATGTGCCCCTTCCCAGGGACATGCTCCTTCCCCGGGATGTGGGGATTCCCAGGGATGTGCGGGTTCCCCAGGATGCGCCCCTTCCCAGGGATGCAGGGATCCCCAGGGATGTGCCCCTTCCCAAGGATGCTCTGCGGTGCCGCGGGTCGCCTTTCCTGCCATCCTGCCGCCCCTATTCCCTCCTCCCGTCCCTCCTCCTCCTCCTCCCCATCCCCATCCCTGCCGTCCCTCCTCCTCCTCCTCCTCCTCCTCCTCCTCCTCCTCCCCATCCCCATCCCTGCGGTCCCTCCTCCCGGCCGCCAGGTGCCCCTCGGCCGCCGCCGCTCGCTCCGTGATCCGGGGCGGCTCCGGCAGCGCGGCCCGGCAGGTGGGTGCTGGGGAAGGGTCCCGTCCCTGTCCCCGTCCCTGTCCCCGTCCCTGTGCGAGGGGCCGGGGCCGCTGCGTCCCGCGGGGTGCGGAGGATGGGCCGGGAGTGCGCAGGCGGTGCCCCGGGGCTGCGCTGCTGCTCTGGGTACGGTCCGTGAGCTCCTCCATCTTCCCGCCTGGACTAAAAGGAAATGGGGATAACGGGATAACGGTGCTGTGCTGGAGGTGCCCGTGCGGGTTTTAATCGTTTGCGGGGTGTTCTGCACACCGGGTTTTTAGGCATGTGTTTATTGTAGAGGCTGCTTTCATTCAGGGCCTCATTGCTACCGGTGATACAAATTATAATATAGATAGATATATAGATAATATAATATAGATAGATATATAGATAATATAGATATTATAGAATATTATACTATGTAATTATACTATATCTATTATAGAATAGATATAGTATAATTATATTATATATATAATTATATATATCTATATTATAAATTATAATGTAGATAGATACATAGATATTAGAAATTAGATACATAGATATATAGATAATATAGTTATTATATAATTGATATAGCAAAATTATAATATATTTATATATATATAAATTATATCTTTCTATCTATATTTTAAATTATAATATAGATACATAGATAATAGATATTAGATACATAGGTGATATAGATATATAATAGACATAGTATAATTATAATTATATGTTATATATAATTATATATGTACCTATCTATATTATAAATTATAATATAGATAGATACATAGATAATAAAGATATTATATAACATATATATCTATTATAACATAATAGATATTATAGATAGTATCACATATATTATTATGTATAGATACATAAAAATATGTGAGATAATACAAAATAATATATAGGGAAATACATGATTTTAAATGTGATTGCATGTTATTTATTGTTAATTTATTGATTATATGTATAGTATATAGAACTATTTGTTATTTATTATATAGGGTTATTTTTATTTATTATATAGGATTATTTGTTATTTATTGTTCCGTAATTATTGCTGCTTTGTAAATTATATTTGCCTTCCTAGTGTCAATCCCTTTTGTCACATCAGAATTCTCCCTTCCTTATCTGCTCTGGACCTGGAGCAGCAGGGATGTGAATGGAAATGCCTGCTCAGAGCAGTTAATCCCATCCCTGTTTCATCTCCCCATGTTCCCAAGGCCCATTAAAACATGATGGTTTTGTTTACCCAGCCTGCAGTCATGCCTGGGAATGCTCCAACAGGCCAAACAGGAAGGTTGGGCTCTGCAGCTCTGACTCCTCGTCCCGTGCAGTCCCTCTGGTGCTCCCCAGAGCTGGGCAGCAGTACCAGGGCAGCTTTGGCACAACTGGAAACTCCTGTATCCCAAAGGCTGACTCAGCTGCACTGCCCTGACTGCTCATTTCATGGGAAGGCATTATATGAACACATTTCATGGGAGGGCATTGTACAAAAGAGGTGTAGAATAAAGTAATGTGTGTTTGGAAACTCCTGGAAACAACTGGAACCTCCTGTATCCCAAAGGCTGACTCAGCTTCACTGCTCTGACTGCTCATTTCATGGGAAGGCACTGTATGAACGAGGTGTAGAATAGAGTAATGTGTATTTGGAGAGTTTCAGCAACATCCACAAGTGTTTATGTGCTGTAGTTTTGTTCTGGCAATTTCTCTTTTGTTTGTTTGAGAGATTATTGCAGTGTGTGTGAGGGAAGATGTATAAAAGAAATACAGCTGAAAAAAGAAATATTTATAGGCATAGATTCTTATTCTTTTGCATCCAAAAGATTTGGAGGTTTTGGTGCCAGTAAGGATGAAATGAAGCCTGTAGTGAGGAGAATAAAGTGCTTTTCACACAGAGAAAATCTGCCAGGAGCAAGCAGCCCCATCAGGAGCAGCTCTGCACGCTTGGGGCTGGGATGGTTACGGAGCAAAGCTGACACTGGCACAGGCTCGACCTCCTGCTCACTTTGTCCTTCTGATCCCTCGTGTCCTGCTCTTCCCAGGCCAGGATGCTGTTCCCGCTGCCCCTGCGTGCAGCCTGCAGCCTGCTGGCCTGGTTCTGCCTCTACAAGTGGTTCTGCCACCGCTACCGGCACCGCAACCTCGAGTGGAGCTGCAGGCTGGTCACCCTGACCCACGGCATCCTGGCCACCTGCCTGTCTGCCTACATCGGCTTCATCGACGGCCCCTGGCCCCTGAGCCACCCAGGTGAGTCAGGAAATCCACGACCCCACCTCCCCTGGGCTTCTCCTCAGTCCCCAGCCTGCTTGAGGGATGGTGCTTGCCCTGATATCTCAGCTGCTTTGTGGTGGAATGGAGAGGAATGGAGAGCCTGGCACTGTATTTCGCTGTGCTAATGTTCCTCACTCGGGGTCACCGAATGTGGAATTTGCAGGCAACCCCGACAAGGGAAGAGATGAGAATCCTGAGTCCATGTTTCAGAAGGCTGATTTATTATTTTATGGTATATATTATATTAAAAGAAAATTATATACTAAGAATATACTAAAAGAAAAGAGAAAGGAGACATCAGAAGGCTGGCAAGGAAAGGAATGGAATGATAATAAAATCTTGTGACTGACCAGAGAGTCCGAGACAGTCGGACTGTGATTGGCCATTAATTAGAAACAACCACATGAGCCCAATCCCAGATGCACCTGTTGCATTCCACAGCAGCAGATAACCATTGTTTGCATTTTGTTCCTGAGGCCTCTCAGCTTCTCAGGAGGAAAAATCCTAAGGAAATGATTTTCTATAAAAGATGTCTGCGACACACCTCCACGCTTTAAATCTCTATTTTTACCTTTCAGGGTCACCCAACACAACCCTTCAGGTGCACGGGCTGTGCCTTAGCTTGGGCTACTTCATTTTCGACCTGTGCTGGTGCGTGTACTTCCAGACAGAGGGTGCCCTGATGCTGGCCCACCACCTGGTCAGCATCGTGGGCATCGCCGCCTCCTTGGCCCTGGGCGAGTCGGCCGGCGACGTCAACGCCGTCATCTTCGGCAGCGAGATCACCAACCCGCTGCTGCAGGCCCGCTGGTTCCTCAAGGAGCTGGGTCGCTACCACACCTTCACGGGCGACCTGGTGGATTTCCTCTTCGTGGTGCTCTTCACGGGCGTGCGCATCGGCGTGGGGGCCTGGCTGATGTACTGCGAGCTGGCCTCGCCCCGGCCCCGCTGGTACATCAAGCTGGGAGGGGTCGTCATGTACGTGGTGTCCTGGGTGTTCATGGTCAGCATCTGCCGCTTCGCCAGGAGGAAGAGCATCAGCAAGTACCAGGCCTGGAGGAGCCGCAGGAGCCGCCAGCTGGGCTGGAAAAGCAACGGGCACCTCAAAGGCCACTGATGGAGGCTGAGCAGAGAATTCCTCGAGTTCACGGGCTGGCAAGGAGGGGATCGTGCGTGAAATGCTGCTGGAGGGAGAGGAGCCAACGCACGTTAGCAGCTCTGGAGCCAAATTTATCCCTGGCCTAACTCCACTGAAATCCATGGAGCTATGCCATGGATTCACTGGGCAGAGGCTGGCACGGTGTGCACAGCCTGAATGAGGAGGGAAAGAAGGGCTAATTTATAGACTAACCATGGCTAGTCCAGCAGTGCAGGTGTGAATAGTGATGTGGAGGGAAAGAAGGGCTAATTTATAGACTAACCATGGCTAGTCCAGCAGTGCAGGTGTAAATAGTGATGTGGAGGGAAAGAAGGGCTAATTTAATAGACTAAACATGCCTAGTCCAGCAGTGCAGGTGTGTGGCCAGCTCCTTCAAGATCTTGGAAGAGAAGAGGAGGTAACACGAGGTCTCCATGTCCTGTGCAGTCTAGGCAGCTGGAGTGACTCTCCATGCTGGTGGAAGAAGTGTTCTAGTGTTGCATCCAAGCTGGGATTCCTGGCTCTTCCACTGCCTCGTTGGTGTGCACAGCCTGAATGAGGAGGGAAAGAAGGGCTAATTTATAGACTAACCATGGCTAGTCCAGCAGCACAGGTGTGAATAGTGATGTGGAGGGAAAGAAGGGCTAATTTATAGAATAACCATGGCTAGTCCAGCAGTGCAGGTGTAAATAGTGATGTGGAGGGAAAGAAGGGCTAATTTATAGAATAACCATGGCTAGTCCAGCAGTGCAGGTGTAAATAGTGATGTGTAGCCAGCTCCTTCAGGATCTTGGAAGAGAGGAGGAGGTAATGCTAGGTCTCCATGTCCTAGAGTGGCTCTCCATGCTGGTGGAAGAAGTGTTCCAGTGTTGCATCCAAGCTGGGGTTCCTGGCTCTTCCTCGTTGTGTGACCTTGGGCAAGTCTCACAGCTGGAACTCTGTGCCTCATTCCCCCTCTGTGACCTGGGGGAGATGGAGCTGCTCCATCTGTTATGCACTTTCAGATTTTTACTCGAGAGGTGCTACATGAAAAAGTGATGGTTGTTATCTGCACTTGGTTCATCATTCCCGTGTTTCCCTTGGGAGAAATGACTTTGGTGGTCGAGCTAGAGCGAGACTCTAGGAAAATCAGTATTTTAGGTAGGTTGTTGTTTCCTACCCTTTCTAACTCCTTTTAATAACTTATTCATTAACATATTGATAACTTATTTTCTGTAGTGTCCAAAACCTAGCTCTAATCAGCACTGCCTAATTACAGGACTAGGTGCTCTGTGAATACGCCCAAAGACACAGACCCAGAAGGGAAAATTTTTCCTAACTTTTCCCTCTTCCCTGACTGTTAAAACTCCCCTACAAACACTGCTTTTAGCTCCTTGGGTAACCAGCACACTCCACTTCGAGAAGCCCCATCAGGATCTGCCAGTCAGGGGTTTTCTTGCTGATGAGCCAAGCCCTGATTTTTGTCTCCAGAACACCAAAATTCCCTCTGCTGTGCCCCAAATCCAAACTGGGATTTCTGGTTGCCCATAATCTGCCCTGTGGAAGCCACAGACTGACCTGGGCTCTCCTTCATCTGAATTGATGCCTTGACCCCTGGGCTTTGATTTCCCTCTGACTGGGTCTGAGTCACTTTATAAAAGTGAACATTTAAAGGGTCAGAGAGGTTTATTTTACAGCTTAACAATTAAAGAAGTGAGAGGTCCAGAATCTGGTCTTTTTTAAGCAAAAATAAACCTGACTGGGAGAAAAATAAGCAATACTTATGCAGTCCCATTTGTAGGGAAAAGCCATGCCCAGCTGGCAGCTTCTGGAGTTTATTTCATTGCATGTCCTTAAGCTTTTCCTTTGTTTTTGCTGCAATTTTGAGCATTTCCTTCGAGCCTCCAGTGCAGCTCAGGTGCCCCCTTTTGCTTGAGCCTTGCTTGCTGCAGCCAAAGACCTGAAGAAGCCCCAAAAAAGCCCTTCAGATGAGCAGAGCCAGCTGATGAGCTGGTCCTGGAGAGGAAACTTGACCCATCCAGCACTCTCAAGCCTTGAAGGGAGACCAGAAGGGCTGGTTGGGGCTTGCTGGTTCTTTTTCCCAGCTCTGCTGCTCTGTTGAGCACATCCAGGAGCCTTTTTGCCTCAACTTAACCCACTTTGGGAAGTGGGTGCAGTCTTACTACCTCATAGGGTGTTTCCATTTAGCACCAAGCCACCTTTGATGGCTTCTGGGTGCTTTGTGTCCGGGCTGTGCTGTATAAAAGTTGCTTTGAGTGCTGCAACTTCCTGCTGTGAGCCACCAGCAGCGCTTTGTCACCTGAGCTGGGCACTTCCCAACATCCCAAAAGCAGGAGTGAGGTGTTTGGCAAAGGTGCTCCAGGGCAGGAGTCACAGGGAGTGAGCTGGACGTGCTCATAAAGGTCAGCTTGGTGCTGCTGCATCCTCACAGGGAGCCCCAAGCTGAGGAAAAGGGGTTTGCTGCCTTTTCCCTGGTCAGGATTGCAGGAATCTGGAGCCAGAAGAGTCTCAGCCACTGGCCTGAGCAGGGAATGAGGGCTTGCAGCAGCAGCTCCTGCAGAAATGCAGGTGAGAACAGGTCCTGGAGGTGAGAACCAGGTCCTGGAGGTGAGAACAGGTCCTGGAGGTGAGAACAGGTCCTGGAGGTGAGAACAGGCTGGTCCATGCTGCTGAGCTGCTGAGCTGCCCACCATGAAGAGTTTCCACCACCCTGGGGGTTTGGGCTCTGAGCTTTGCTGAGGGTTGGGGTGCAGCTTTATGGGGTTTGCAGCTTTATGGGGTTCCAGCCCTTACCTGCCCAGGTGGACGAGGATGGCAGTGACTGCAGTGTCTGTCAATCATTTGTTTGAAGAGATTTTGAAATATAATGGTTTGAGTTTGGGAAAGCAGAAAAGGTTTTCCCCACTTTTCTGAACAGGGGGGAAACTTGGTTGGAAGAAGGAGAGCACTGCTCAACTCTGAGGCTTTAGAAAGCAAACAAGAAAACAAAAGGGCACTTAGAAATGGCTTTATGAGGCACAGCAAGGCCTCACAGCCCATTTAGTGGGCTCCAGCATAGATTTACAGACCCAAAAGTACAAATTCCAAGCTGTGGAGCACAGGGTGGGACCTGTCCTCAGGCTAGTCCATAGTGGCTAGAGCAAACTGTGAGAGGAAACTGCAGAACTAGTGTGAAATAATAACTTGTGTCTGAATTACTGTGTAATAGCAACTAATGTTCCACCAGTGAATGGTGTAGATGCTTTGTATTATGTTTTATAAAAATAAAGATTATTTCATTATATGAGGAATTGGGTTTCTCTGTTTGGGCGCTGCTCTTAAGTCACAGGTTGCACTTGATGGTTCTGGAGGGCTTTTCAGAAAAATCTTTTCAACTTGAATCTTTTTCAACCTCAAAGCTTCGGTGGTTCAGTAGGATGAAACAAAAACATTCCCTTTGTTTTCCATGTCCTGGATGGCACAGGAGAGGATTCTCCTGTGTTTCCACACCGTGAGCTCTTCCCAACCATAAATTAATATCATTGCCTAGGAAAGCCCTGTGCTGGTGTGTTGGTAAACAGCCTCTCTGCTTGCTGATGGCCAGAGATCCAGCACACCAAAAGTCTTGGCTTCTATAAATAGTTAAGCCAATTTAGTTGTTTGCATGTAACCCTTAAGTCCAGCTTAAAACCCTCCAGCGCCGGGGAGCAGCTGCTGAGCAGCACAGAGCCCTCTGGAGATGTTTTCTGTTTACAGAGCCCAGCCTGGGGCGTCTCAGAGCCTGCAAGAATTTGTGTTGGGACTTGGTTGAACCTCTGAGAAAGCTCCAGAAGCAGAGGAGAAAGTACAGCAGAGTTCTGGGGCTTTGCTTCAGAGCTGCAAGTGTCTCACAGGTCTGGTGTCTTCAGAAGTGACAAGATCTGGAGTGGTCACACAAGATTGTCAGTGGTCAGCTTTGCTTTGTCTGTGGAAAGTGAAATCTGCCCCTCTACACCCAATTAATTTCATTTTTTATCATCCCATTATTTCTTTACAGCCAACTCTGCTTCCTGCCTTTTGCTTCTCCTGCTGGCCCTGCAGTTGAGCTCTGTAAAATTAACCTCCCCTGTCAGCCCTCTGCCCTCTCTTTGTAGATGAACTCCCTATTTGTACTAGGAAAAATTGAATTTTTTTGATACTCACAGCTTTATTCCCTTGCAGCAGTAGTCCAGGCACTGATGTAAAAGCAGCATTTTAGGTCTTTGAAATCTGTTATGACATTAATACCACGGGGTTTGCCATGTCCAGAGAAGTCAATGCCCTGTTTGCCTCGAATTCCAGGGGCAGCTTGGCAGCTGATAAGTCAACAATGGAAAAGATCCTTAGAAAATTACTAAAAGAAGGAATATAACAGATCAAAGTACATGGAAAAGCTTCTGTAAAGTAATAAAGGTTTGCAGGTAGATAATTCTGCATGGGAAGAAGGAAGTTTCAGCTTCTGCAGCTTCTCAAGTGCTACAGAACACAGATTTTCAGCAGTGCTTGTGTTGTGCTGTTTGAACTGTGTCTTGTGTTAGAATGAGATCTGTCCTGTGCCACAGCCCTCAAAGGTGAAGAGAAATTATATTCTCTATTTCTTCAGATTTTACCTCTTTCTTTTTCACCCCCCTGCCTCCAGCCAGAGATGGAGAAAGAGAAGGAAACTCAGATTCCTCTGTCCTTGCTGCCTTCCTTATGCTGATGTGGAATGAAAGCTCAGTGCTATAAAAATGCTGACTGCCCCGTGGATTATCCAGGTTTAGGAACTGTAATAAGCTGTCACTCCAGAAGCTTTGCTAGATTAGGCTCTCTGTGTCTCAAAATCAGCAAAGCCTTGTGTCCCACGACCAACCCTGGGTGCATTTCCAGCATTTCCAGAGTTCAGGATTGTAGGGAGAAAAATCTGGTGCCCATTTTAAGGTAGGAGATGAAAAGAGGCTTGGAAATTGCACAGAAATGTGGAGCACAGCACCGATTTATTTGTGTTTTCTGGGATCGGGTCCTGTGTTCCTTAGGAGTCACAAATTTCTAGGCACATTTGGGAAATGAGTTTGGGAATGGTTTCCCCTGTGCTTTTCCCCTCCAAGGTGCAAAGGTTTGGCAGTTGGCTCCCAAAAGCAGCAGAAAAACAGGAGCTGGCTGAGCAATTTGTAGTGAGCATAAATAACAGCTCAAAATACCTGAGCATTCTCTCACTGGCTTGAAGTTGATTATTTGTAAGGAGCAAAAGCATCTTCATGCACTTGATTTTTGTGGTGGAGCTCAGTGAAACTCACCTGATCATCTAAAACACAAGCTGAATTTTTTCTGAAAGGGAAATGCTCCCAAGGAGCTGTTTATCCACACTTAAAACCTTAAAGCAATTTGTACTGAGTGTAAATAACAGTTCAAAATATCTGAGTATTCTCTCACTGGCTTGAAATTGTAAGGAGCAAAAGCATCCTTATGCACTTGATTTTTGTGGTGGAGCTCAGTGAAATTCACCTGATCATCCCACCTGAAACACAAACTGATTTTTTTTTCTGAAAATGCTCCCAAGGAGCTGTTTATCCACACTTAAAGCCTTAAAGCATCATTTTTTGCTGATTTTTATCTCTGTTTATGCTGAGCTGACAGCGGTGCAAACCCCGTGGGAGCATTCCAGAGCTCCAGGATCCCAGAGCTTTTGGGAATGCTCCTTTTTTCCAAGCTTTACCTTTTACCTGACCGGGTCTCAGGTTAGAGGAGCCATTCGAGGCTTTCCCAGCAGATGGCAACAGCTCCTCGGTGCGAGCCTGGGAAAGGGGATTTGGCCAAAGGATCCTCGCTCAACACTTTATAAATTGGATTTTACAGGAGCCCCTCTAAAGCAGCTCCAAGGATCTGAGCGTTATTTTAAGGTAAAATAAGAATTAATCTATAGGAATTAATCTCCTCCACTTCAGGCTCCTGCTTAGCTCTGCTCCGGACTAAAAAACAGATTAAGGAGGTAAATTAGAGAATCACAAAATGGTTTTGTGTTGGAAGAGACCTCAAAGATCATCTTGCTCCAACCCTCCTGCAATGGGATGGTTCTGTGTGTAAAGTCACAACTTCAGAGCTCAAAAAAAAAATAAAAAAAATAATGGGCACACTGTAATTGCTTATTGATTTCCCCACCCCATATTTCAGGTTGTGAAACAGAATTATCATAAATAGACATCTATCTTAATCTAAGTATGCATCAGCTCCCACCAAAAAAAAAAAAAAAAAAAAAAAAAAAAAAATCAGCATTTGCAGAAAAAAGAAGCAGTTACGGTTTCAGAATCTGTCTTAGGATTTCCTCCAGCTAATTGTTCTCGTTATGTTGTCATGCACAATAAAATATAATTAAAGTAATAGAAAAGCATCGAGGCCTAATATGCAAATGCTGGGCCTGCCAGGAATCAGATCTCCCAGGAGCTTTCCCCTCTCCAGGCACAGTACTCGATGTTCCCAAAGTTAAAAGCAGGGAGGGATTTATTGCAGAGAAGATGCAATAAAGAGATATATAATAAATAAATACAGATATATGGAGGCACTCGGTCACTTCATCAGCACTGCTGACTGTATTGCACACAGCTGCAGAAGGACAGGCAGATGTGGCTGCTTGTCTTGCACTCCCACACTTCATTTATTATTTTTTTTTTCCCAAGCCTCTATTTTCCCCCAAAAGGAAACCAAAAAAGGAAGTATAAATGTCCTGTGCATACATGCGAAGCATCATGTAAAAAAAAATGATATCATCCCACGCTTCCCCTCTTTGCTCTGAACTCCAACAAAACAAGAAATTCTTCGGGTGCTCAGACAGTCTGCTGGCTTCCTGGTGAGCAGGACACAGCTCGGTGGTGCAGAGCAGCCTGGACGTAGCCTCGGGCAAGGTATGGTCCTGTGTGCCCAGCCAGGGAGCTGCTCCCACTCCCCTGAGCCTGCTCTCCACCTCTCCCCAGGCCCAGCGTCCCGGCTTTGAAGTATAACCCGGCAAGATTAATTAAAGGGCAGAAGCGTGGTGTCCCAGATGATTGGGATTAGCTAATAAGGTTATTTTAGTCTGCTGGCATTTGCTGTTGGGGGAGAGTGATGTTCCACAAGTTCCTTTGTGCAGAGGGGGCAGGAATTGCTGGCAGTGGAGACATCCTGCTTTCCATTGCACATCTGTGCTGCTCACGAGCTGTAATTTCTGGAGGAGCAGCACGGAAGTTTCCTGAAGTTCTCAGGTACAGATGTTATTTCCAAGTGGCTTGTAGTGCCAGGACAAGTGGCTTCACACTGATAGAGAGTAGGTTTGGATGGGATATTAGGAAAGAAAAAATTCTTTGTGAGGCTGATGAGGTTGCCCAGAGATTGCTGTAATTTCTGGAGGAGCAGCATGGAAGTTTCCTGAAGTTCTTAGGTATAGATGTTATTTCCAGGTGCTTGAGAACAAGTGCCAGGACAAGGGGGAATGGCTTCACACTGACAGAGAGTAGTTTAGGTGGGATATTAGGAAAAAAACCAATTCTTTGTGAGGGTGATGAGGTTGCCCAGAGAAGCTGTGGTGGGTCCCTGGAAGTGTCCAAGGGCAGGTCGGAGCAAGATGGGATAATGGAAGGTTGGAACAAAATCATCTTTAAGGTCCCTTCCAGCCCAAACCATTCTGGGATTCTGAGCAGATTCCAGGCAGGAATTTTCTCAGACTGTGCTGTACACGGTACGGGCTGCAGGGATTTACAGCAAGGCCGTGTTTGTGTTCAGGCTGGGCTGAGGAGAGGGAAATCCACCGAAATTCACCAGCTGAAATGTAAATGCCCAAACACCCCGTGGGGCTCATCTTTTCCTACTTTTGAAGGGGAGCAGGAACAGGCCCTCGGCCGCAGCGTTTCTTGAATGTGCATGCAGGGAGGGATCAGTTTCTTGGATTTATGCTGACCTTAACCTGTGAGAAAAATTCCCGATGAAATTTCCGTGTGTGGGAAACGCGGGACTGGACAACAGAGCCACGAAAGGCCTGGGAGCAAACAGCACAGCCGCTCTGCACAGCTCCTGGCACTTCTACTCTTTTCATTCGCTGCTTATTTATTTTCTTTCTGCTCCAAGTTTCGCCTGTGTCATATTTTCCATGGAGATGGAGGCGCGGGCGCTCTGAGCGCTGGTGACACGGCGAAGCGTCGGATGGCTGGGGAATGGAGAAGGGGAAAAGGGAAAAAAGGGGTAGAGGGAAAAAGGGAAATCTCCTCGGGTTAGGGAAGCAGGGGGATGGAAAGCTGCTCGGCAGGGACACAGGGCGAGGGAGGAGCGGCTGCGACCG